TCGTAGACTTTAAGCTGCTTGAGAGCAAAGACTGTGTCAAATCTCCCATGCCAAGCATACTGTAAAAACAATAACAGACTTTGTTAAATGATAAATAGGGAGTGGAGGAGAAAAGATTCTCAAAAACATACTTTGAGGGTATGGCGTGATCACTCTGATCATAACAAGACATTCCCAACTAGCTCCCACTGCACTGCTGGACAGACTTCCTGTTCTCACTTGCTACAGCTGAGAAACCATGTGTGTCTGCCAGTCAGACCATACTGGTTTTTGGAGAAATTCCAGTTATACAAACCCATGATTCAATTCCTTGTCACTTTTATTGATGGTATTTTTTAACTGTTTTGTTTTGTTTTGCGCTGAAAAGGAAATGGTCCCTTAATGAGTCAGCTGGACATTGTCAAGGTAAGAAATGATGGCCCTGGCTGGGTAGCTCAGTTGGTTAGAGCACCATTCTGACATGTCAAGGTTGTGGTTCAATCCCTGGCCAGGGCACTACAAGAATCAACCAATAAATGCATAAATAAGGGGAACAACAAATCAGTTGTTTCTCTCTGTCTCTCTCCCCCCTCCCTTCCCCCTTCCTCTCTCTCTAAAATCAATTAAACAACTTTTTTTTCTAAGTGGAGGGTTTTTTTAAGATTTAATTTATTTATTTTTAGAGAGGGAAGGGAGGGAGAAAGAGAGAGAGAAACATCAATGTGTGGTTGCTGGGGGCTGTGGCCTGCAACCCAGGCATGTACCCTGACTGGGAATTGAACCTGCAACGCTTTGGTTCGCAGCCCATGCTCAATCCACTGAGCTATGCCAGCCAGGCCTCAATTAAACAACTTTTAAAAAAAAGAAACTATATAAGTCTGACAGTTTCCATTTGACTTCATTCATTCAGCCAAATTACAACGTACTAAGCAAAGAACATAGGTCCTTTCCTAAGCGCACAATGTTGGCCACTTCAGAGATCTTTGTTTCTTTCATTTCACTTCATTAATTCAACAAGGTTTATTGACTTCCTACTATGAAGTCAATACTTCCAGACTTTGTGCTAGGCAAACATAATATGAAGATAGATGAGATACAGGCCCATCTCTCAGAAAGCTTAAAGTCTGCTGTAAAACAGATGTGGAAACATAATTACAATGCAATAGGAAAAGAGCTAAAATAGAGGTATTTATAAAGTGGCATGAGACATCACAGAAAGAGGATGGACTATGTCAAGGAGGGGACATTTGAAGTAAGCTTCACAGAGGAGAGGACAAATAAACTGAGTTTTGAAGGACTTTGCCAGGGAAGAAAATGAGAGAGGACATACCAAGAAGAAAGAAAAGTATGTACAAAGACCTATATCTAGAAGAAGCAAAGTTGTAATGAGATGATAAAATTAAAGCTTAGAGAAGGTAAGTTAACTTACCCAAGTCACATAGCTGGGAAAGAAAAGGGCTAGAGGGAGTTAACCCAAGCTGAACTTATTTGTGGGAGTGTGTCATACTTCTTGAGTGTTGAGAATTGCTGCTCAGGGCCGGGCATACACGTGCTAGGAGCTTGGACTACACTCAGTAGACAAGGGGGAGTCGTGGGAGATTTTTAAGCAGAGAAGCAACACGGTCTTATTTGGGCTTTGGAAAGATAATTCTAGCAGTGATTTCTAATTGTGACTGCAATTAGAATCACTTGAGAAGCTTTCAAAAATTATAGGCCAGGTTGCTACTCCAAAACACTTGAACCAGAATTTCTGAGGGTGAGACCCAGTTTTCTTTTCTTTTTTTTAAGTTCCTTAGGGGATTCTAATGTGCAACTAGGGTCAAGAACCACTGTACCAGGAGAATGGATTGAAATATAGAAAAGAACTGATATTTATTAAGTACCTACTATACTTGAGGTTTTGTTGTAAATGCTTTATACAACTACATATGTATTAGGATGATAGATAGATAGATGTCAATGGATAGACAGATAGACAGATAGTACTTTGACACATTTTAAACATTTTGAGCCATGTGCAGAGAACTATTACACTATCCCTAGCTGTCAAGGTAGATACTATATTCCTATAATCCCTATTTTACCAATGAGGAAGTTGAGGCACAGACCAGTGAGATAGCCCATCCAAGATGATCAAATTATTAAATGATAACAATTGGATTCCACATAAATCTTTCCAATATTCAAAACTATATCCTTTCCACTATACACCATGGCCCATAAACCTAGCTTAATCCTCAGAACAATCCTGAAGTAGTTATCATGATCCTCATTTTACAAATGAGAAAATTAGTCCTAGAGAGTTTAATCTGATCAAGTCAGGACTCAGAGATGGAGAGGCTGGGTGGATTTAAATTGAAACTTGTTTAACTCTAATTACATGCTTATGAAAATAAAGTATATAAGCACATATTCAACACTGAAAGAAAGGAAGCAAAGTGGATTATTAATACAAGCCAGAGTATTATTCTTAATGAGGAGAGTCATCCCTATTTCTGGAGTCTCAGGAGGCTAAACCTCTGTTCAACTATCAATCCCGGGGGCCTAATTTGGGTGGGGGAATGGGGATGGGACATGAGAAATTCTGCCATAGCCTCTATCATATTTACCTGGAAAAATTTTAACCTTGGCTAAGTCCAACACTACAACTTCCTCACACCCTTATCCAAGCAGCTGAATCATGCTGGCTAGTCTCTTTTTTAATTGATCGTCTCTATGCAATACTGCCCAGCAATAGTATGCCTTTTCCTAGTAAGTCCATTTCCCCATTCTTAGAGAAATTATTTCATATCAGTTCTTCCCTCCTCACTCCCTCCAACACTCCCACCCATCCCATTATTCTCCATTCTCTGTTGCATCAACAATTTCCATCTTTTCGTTCCTTACATTTTACAAACATCCCATGCCCATCTTTTTTAAATATCAAAAACAAACAAACAAAAAAACCCTCCTTTGAACCCAAAGGAGTTGCTTTTTCTCAAACTCTCTATAGGTGTATTCTTCTCTGCCTGATCTTTAATGTTGGAGTACGCTAAGGGTCAGTCTGGGGTTTCCTTCTCTTCCCTGCCTATCCTCTCTAAGTGATCACTTAAAGATACGGGTTTTTAGAGATGGGTTTGTCACACTTACATAGGAACTGGATTCTAAAGTCAGCTGATAAAGAAAAAAAGAACTCAGAGAGTGGAATTATTCTTGGACGTTCCTTAAGTCACCCACGAAGTATGGTAGTTGTGCTTTCATACGTGTTGACTTTATACATGAATGTAGTCATGTTTATGTGCCAAATTAAAGACCAACACTCCAACACTTATTATTCCTAATAAGCTCAAAGATTCAACTTTTCCCTTCTCATTTTGAGATAAATTGTTTTTATTAAGCAATAGATGAAGTACTTGGGGCTTTAACTTAGAAAAACAAGTACTTATTTTTAAACAGTAGATACAATTGCAACAGCACGATGCTCCCACTATAAAAGGGAATCAGGGCTTAACACATCTTGAGGGTACAGCGGATTCACATTCCCATCGTATGCTCACTCCACACTTGGTTTCCTTGAGTATACTATAGTATACACTATATTATTTTCTTCGGTTGAATATGCATAACTCAATTTCAGTAAGTTAAATGCTTGTCTGATGTGACTCCATTGTACCATTTATATGTTGATGACTCCTACATTTATTTCTTCGGTCCCAACCTTTTTCTTTGAGCTTCAGACTCAGGGAACCAACTACCTAGTTACTTGGAAGTCTCCACTTGCAGTCCACTAGGCATCTTAACATATCCAAAACATGACAATTGATTCCACACATACTTCCATGTTTCATTTCCCCCCAAAAGCTGTTCTTCCCTTAATCTTCCCTAGCCCAGTAAATGGCGTGCCATCTCCCCAGAGTTTCAGGCCAATAACCTAGGAGTGATCTTTGATTCCTCCCCTTACCTCATCTCCACATGAAATGCATTGGATGTGTTTAGGTCTACCTCCAAAATATATCCCAAATCTTTCCATTTAACTCCACCAGCACGCATACCACCCTAGCCCAAACCACCATCACAATTTCTATTTTGACCAGCTTCCTTGTTTCCATTTTTACCCTTTCTATGGTCCATTCTCCAAACAGCCAGAGTAATCTTCTGTAAAACATTGACTCATCCATTCAGCAGGTACATACTGAGAGCACACAGGAAGTGGAGATACAGCAGGGAAACATATTAGATCCCTGTGCTCACGGCCTTTCATTCTAGACCCGGGAGAGGCAATGCACAAGAAAATAATTTTGTACAGTACAAACGCAATGAAAAAAGTAAATATAGTTGCACTCTCAGTACATTTGCAAAGCTTCCCAGGTTGTTTAGATGAAAATCCAAATTTCTTACTATGACCTTCTTATAAGATTCTGTGAGATCTGGTTTATATTTGTCCCTCCAACCTTATCTGTACCACACTGCTTCACTGCAACTTGTCTCCAGTCTCCCCGGCCTTCTTTCTATATCCCAATGTTCCAGACCTTTCCCCTTTCTGCAGACAGGCGTTTCCTCCATCTCCAACGCTGTTTCCCAGATCTGGGAAATCTTGCCTCCTCTCTGCTCAAATATAGCTCCATCATTATGAACCTGAGTAATATACCTAAACTTAGGTCCCCTTCACTTTCTCTATCAGTACACTGTTTTATTTGAGAGCACTTTTCACTTTCAGAAATTATCCTTATTTGTTAACAATATCTTCTGTTCCCACTAAAATATTAAGTTTCGTGAACTGAGGATCTTGAAGTGGTTCACCAAAGTATCCCTAAAAGTCTAGAACAGTATTCTGTATAAGAGGCTTTTGATAATTTTTTTTTTGAGAGAACAGAAACTATGACAGACCCTACGACGCACCACATGACGCACAATGACAGACAGAACTACCGGACGAAAAGAACTAAGTAGCTCAAAGAAGCCACGCTCCGAGCCCCGCCCGCCCCCCCAGCCATTTCCGCCCAGGGCCTAGTAGACCTCCCGGGAGAAGTACTCTGCGCAGGCGCTGTGGGACCGCGGAGCTTTCTGGGTAAAGATGGATACGCACGATCTCTTTCGCCGGCTCGGCGCTGGAGCTAAATTCGATGTGAGACGTTTTTCCGCGGACGCAGCCCGATTCCAGGTACCATGCCCGAGCGGACAGAAGCCGGAGTAACTGAGGAGCAGGAGCCGGAGAATGAACTGGCTGCTGGGGAAGCCTGCCCTCGGAGATCCCGTGGCCAGGCTGGGGGCATTTTCATCTCCTTTGGCATTTAGTGTACCCGCAGACCTGCCGGCATTCTGTATTAACTTGTTTCACATCCTTTTGTTGACTTATTTGGGTTTGGCCAGGAGTCGCTCCCCCTTGCCCCCACCTTCTTAGTTTATTCCAAATGCAGTTGGAATCCTTCTTTCGAAAGTAACCTTTTCTTCGAAACTAGTGGGAAGGAATTTTGAAAACAGAAAAAACTCAGTGGAGAGAACAGATTATTTCACTATAGTCTACCCGGATTTGGCTGGGCACGCACTTAATTTGGTATGGTTTTTTTTTTAATCCCGCAAACCCGTGGAATGTTAATTAACCAATGAGAAGAGAGATTTAGAAATGGGAGGTCGTATATAGGGAAGTAGTGGGGTGGTTAATAGGGAGTAGTTGGGGCCCAATTATGGGAAATCTTCAATGTCAACCTTGGTATTGGGTCTAGGGACATTATGCGAGTCTGTGAGACATGTATGTTTTTCTTCATTCTCCGACTGGCGAACTCTGGGTCCAGATTATTTGGGTCCAAATCAAGTTACTTAACCTCCTAGTGCCTTGATTTTCTCATTTGTAATATTGCTGTTTGCCTGATAGTGTTGAAGGATGAAATAATTTAATACAGATCATGTTTAGAAGTCTGCCTGACAGCATGTGTTATGCCGATAAGCATATGTTTGTTGCTTTTGACTATTGTAATGTCGATTATTATGATTACTGTTATAAAATCAGAAAAGGTATCACCTTGGATTCCATTTGCCCACACATGTTTGTAAGTGCAACAAATATTTGGTGAAAAATGATAGGGAGTCATTGGACCTATTCCTTTACTGTTGGTCTTGCTTGGGTGAATGTAATACCAGTCTGTAGATTTCACTTTTCATTTTTGGGGTTTTAGGTAGGAAAAAGGAAATATGACTTTGATTCTTCAGAGGTGCTACAGAGACTGGATTTTTTTGGAAACAAGAAGTCTGTCCCAGGGGAGTGTGGAGAATCAAGAACTCATCAGGAGCTCCAAGATGAAGAGGAAAAAGAAGAGAACCTAACTGAAAGGAAGAGGGAGCAAAACAAGAAAAAGAGGAAGAAGATGACTTCAGGTTAGTGCTTGCTTTCTGTCTTTCTCTTTATTTAACTTCTTTCAGTTATAAAAATAATTCAGGCTTATGGTTACAAGTCAGACAATACACAGTCATTTGTCAGTGGATGGCATTCAGGTTGCTTCCAGGTATTTATTATAAATATGACTTCATGGCCATCATAAACAAAGCAACAAACAACAAGTGTTGGAGAGGTTGTGGAGAAAAGGGGTCCCTAGTGCACTGCTGGTGGGACTGCAGACTGGTACAACCACTATGGAAAGCAGTATGGAACGTCCTCAGAAAACTAAAAATGGATCTGCCTTTTGACCCTGCAGTTCCACTGCTGGGACTCTATCCTAAGAATACTAAAACACCAATTCAAAAGAACCTATGCATCCCAATGTTCATAGCAGCACAATTTACAATAGCTAGATGCTGGAAGCAACCAAGATGCCCATCAATAAATGAATGGATCCAAAAACTATGGTACATTTACACAATGGAATTCTATGCAGCAGAAAGAAAGAAGGAGCTCCTACCCTTTGCAACAGCATGGATGGAGCTGGAAAACATTATGCTAAGCGAAACAAGCCAGGCAGTGAAAGACAAATACCATATGATCTCACCTTTAACAGGAACCTAAATAACAAAACAAAGAAACAAGCAAAATATAACCAAAGACACTGAAATAGAGGACAGGCTGATGGTGACCGGAGGGGAGAGAAGAGGGAATTTAAGGGGGTCAGTGGGAAGGGTTCACAGGAACAAACTTAAAGGACACATGGTCATAGACTAAGGGGAGGGTGGTAATGGGAGGGAAGTGGGGAGGGTGGGAGGGGGGCACTGGATTGGGAGTAAAAAGGAGAAAACTGTATTTGAACAATGATTAAAATAAAAATAAATAAATAAATAAATAAATAAATATGACTTCAGTCAATCGATCACAGACAGACAGTCCAGACAGTATCCAGTCATGTAATATGAAAAATAAGATATTTATTGAAGAAGATACAAGAACCATTATACATAGGACAATGACTCCTCAGTCCCTTTTAAAGTAGGCACCTTGGGACCTCTCTCAGTTCTCCTAGTCGCCATCAGCTACCCCATCATTTCTTCCTGAATCTTAGCAATGGTCTGAAATCTCTTCCCTCTCAAAGGTGATTCTAGTTTTGGGAAAAGCCAAAAGTTGCAGGGTGCCAAATCTGGGCTGTAAGGGGCGGGGTCACCTGGATGATTTAATATTTCACCAAAGACCTCTACATCACGTGATGCATGAGAGGGTGCATTGTTGTGATGAAGCTGCCAATCACCAGTTGCCCATAGCTGTGGCCTTCTGAATTATATGCATAGTTTCACAGAGTAATGTTCAAGCTTAACACTTGGTCATTTTGAATGTGATGGCCACACAGTACACATGCTCACTCAATGGCATCTACCACACCCACTGACTAGTGCAGTGAAGTCATCATTGTTCATGCATGCACATGAACAGTCCACCCTCCTTGGCTGCCAGGTTACATTGATTTGTACAAACTGTTCTTGCTTTATTCATTTATTTTTAAAGATTTCATTTATTTTTTAGACAGAGGGGAAGGGAAGGAGAAAGAGGGAGAGAAGCATCAATGTGTAGTTGTCTCTTGTGCACCCCTCACTGAGGACCTGGCCCACAACCCAGCCATGTGCCCTGGCTGGGAATCAAACCAGCGACCCCTTGGTTCACAGGCCAGCACTCAGTCCCCTGAGCCACACCAGCCAGGGCCATTCTTATTTTATTAACAATGGCTGGACTTTTTCTGGATATGTATATGTAAAAATAATAGCCTATCCAGAAAAAGTTCAGCTATTGTTTATATACACACACGTGTATATATATAAAATTTTATACAGATGCTATTATTTCTGTAATTAGCATCCCAAAAGTGGAGTCACTGAGTGAAGGGTATGAACACTTCTTTCTTTGAGCAGATATTACAGAATGATTTCCCATACCCATGTCATTGCTGGGTGCTATTGGTCATAAGTTTTTTGCCAATCTAATGAATGAAACTTCTTTTATTTATATTTTCTTGATGACTGGTGAGGGTGAGCATCTTTTCTTATGCTTTACTGGATACTTGTATTTCAATTTTTGTGAATTTGTCTGCTTTTCTATTTTTCACAGGTTTTTTTTTCTGTACTCTAGAGACATCTTTATCTTTATACCTATTAATTTTTCTTGCCATTTAGCTCTTTTAATAAAGTAAATATTTATATGTAGCTTTAAAAAGTTATACTATGGTGAAAAGTAAATCTTCCCACTCTTTTAGGTCTAGTTCCTTATTTCTCCAGAGGCAACCATTGTTAATCAATTTCTTACGTATTTTTGTAGAGATAATTCTGTTCTCATATATTTATACCTCCCTTTAAAAACATGAGTGATAGCATACTCTATATGCTATTCTGTTCTGAACCTTCCCTCCCTTCCCCCACCTTTAAATAAAAAACTATGTGTGTTGGAAATTGTTTGGAATCAGTAGGAAGTTAATCGTTTTAACACAGCATAGTATCCCATTATATATTCTATAACTAGTGTAACAAGTTCCTGTGTGATGGACATGTAGTTTGTTTTTTCTTTTCTGCTATTAGTAGTGTTGCAATAAATGTCATTTTACTTCCCTGGAAGCAAGGACATTAATAAAGCTTTCTACCAAGATTAGTTGAAAAAATAGACCTGCCACAAACTTAGGAAAAGAATTCAAATGTTGGAGGACAGTCAAAAACACCTAGATATGTTCTATAACCATTTAGCAACAACGGTGTATAGACATAACTAGTTTTCATTGGAAAATTCAGTATCTTGTGGATTAGTAATGATTTGGATCTGTTAATAACAACTGTCTCATAAAAGGGAGCATAATTATAATTTTTGCAAAAAAGTTATTCTAGCCCTGACTGATGTGGCTCAGTGGATTGAGAGCTGGCCTGTTAACTGAAAGGTCACTGGTTTGATACCCAGTCAGAGCATGTGCCTGGGTTGCAGGCCAAGTCCCCAGTACGGGGCACACAAGAGGCAACCACACATTGATATTTCCCTCTCTTTCTCCCTCCCTTCCCCTCTGTCTAAAAATAAATAAATAAAATCTTTTAACAATAAATAAATAAATAAATAAATAAATAAATAAAAGTTATTCTAGTCTTGGCCAGTGTGGCTCAGTTGCTTAGAGCATCATTGCATAATGGAAAGTTCTTGGGTTAGATTTCCCGGTCGGGGCACAGAAATGGGTTGCAGGTTTGATCCCAGGTCTGAGAGCATAGGATCCACCATCCAGGCACGTATGTGAAGGCAACCAATCCATGTTTCTTTCTCATGTCGATGTTTCTCTCTCCCTTCCTCTCCTTTAAAAGCAATGAAAACAAAATGTCCTCAGGTGAGAATAAAAAAAATTAAAAAGTTATTCTGTGATGCCCATCAGCAATATATGAGAGTTTTCTTTTTTGGTAAATTTGTCTCCTCATGTATTTTGCACTTTTTTCTATTAGATTGTTCATCTGTTTCTCTTTATTAGGCCTCAGATACATGAAGGAAATTAGCTCTATGTTTAGCATATTATGCTTACAAGTGATGTTTTCTAGTTTGCCATGTGCACATCTTCATCTTTTTTCCATTTTATGTATTAAATTTATCTTTTCCTTTATTAAAAACTTATTTTTACAGGGGGAGGGTAGAAGCAAGGGAGGGAGGTGCGTTTGGAGGGGGTGGGGAGAAAATACAGATAACTATAATTGAACAACAATAAAATAATTTTAAAAACAACTTTTTTTTTTAATTCACTCATGTTTTCTTGTGTGTAATTTGGTTTTGTTGTATTGAAATCTTTGACCCTCTGGGATTTTATATGGAATAAGGAGTGAATAGGGAACTAATGTAATTTTTTCCAGATGATTAGCTAGTTGTTCTAATACATTGATAATCCATCTTTTCCCTATTGGATTCAAATGCAACTTTTATTTTAAAATTACTTTCCATATATAGTAGTCCCCTTTATGTGTGATTTTGCTTTCCACTCTTTCAGTTACCCACAGTCAGTCATGGTTCAAAGATATTAAGTGGAAAACCCCACATATTTTGAGGGAGAGTCCACATTCACATAACTTTTATTACAGTATAGTTTTATGATTGTTCTATTTTATTATTGTTGTTAATCTCTTACTGTCCCTAATTTATAAATTAAACTTTATCATAAGTATGTGTGGGCAGGAAAAACCAATATATAAGGGATTTGATACTATCTTTGGTTTCAGACATCCATGGGGGGGGCCTTGGGACATATCCCCTATGGGTAAGGGGGGACTGTTGTATATTTGGGTCTGTCTCTGGGCTCTGTTCTATTTAATTGACTTATATTTCTGTATACATACACCATTACCAGCTTATTTTAGTTACTGTGGCCTTGTAACATCTTATAAAATTCAGTCGAGTGGTATAGCATACTATGTTTATTGATTGGGAAGATGAATATTTTCTCCCTAAAGTGATCTATAGAATCATTGCAGGCCTAATTAAAATTCCAGTAGTCTTTGTTGTTATACATTGACAAAGGACTTTTTTTTTTTAAGCTAAGCAGACACCCACTTATTCTCCTAGAATTTACTCAAGAGAAAGGAAAACATATGTCCTCGCAAAGACCTGTATACATGTGTTCATAGTGGCTTTATTTTCAGTAGCCAAAAACTGGAAATTATGTAAATGTTCAACAGGTAAAAGATAAACTAATCATATATTCCTATGATGGAATGCAACCTCTAAATAAAAAGTTAAGATTATTGATACATAGTCCAGCAGGGATCTCAAAATAACTATTCTGAATGAAAGAAGCCAAACTAAATTTCATTTCAGATAAATACTACATGATTTCATTTTTTACAAACTTCCAGACAGCACACTAATTTGCAGTGACAGCATGTAGGTGGTTGCCTAGCGATGGAGCAATGCATTACAAGGGGCCACAAGGAAATTTGGGGAGGTGATGGAAATAGCTTTGAATGTGGTGATGGTTTAACAGGTGTATACATGTGTCAGAACTCCTCACATTGTGTACTTAAGTATATTGTATGTCTATTGTACCTCAATCAAGTTGAAAAAAAATTTAAAAATTCCAAAAGCAGTCCTTGCTCATTACTTTTCTTAGAATTTTGTAGGTTATTTTACATACTTATTTTCCCATATAAACTTTAAAGTTAGCTAGTCCAGTTTCCAAAACAGTTTTGTCATTACTTCTCATTAAACTAATGTTATTATAGATTTAGTGAGAACTGAATTTATTTTATTGAGTAGATACTAATATTGTGCTGTGTTCATTGCTCTTACAAGTAATATCTCTTCTTTCATCATATTTATTTTCTAGCTGGTTGTTTAGATACAGAAAAGCTGGCTGCATCATTGAAACTTCTATTAAAGTAGTTATTCAGTTAATCTCTTGTTTTCGAGGATGCAGTCCTCTACTTATTACACAGCTGAAATAACAAAAGGAAGAGAATGAGCATCAAAGCTCTGATTTTTACCGACATAGACCCTGCCTCTTCCAGTTTTTGTATTTTCTGTTACTTTCTTTTATGTAGTTGCTGTAACTAGTACTTTTCTTTTGTTTAGTGTAAAGGGATGACCTGTTTGCTATGCCACAGAATGTTGCACTTAAAATCTTTTAATTTTTTAAAAATATATTTTAGAAATTACTTCAGAAGAAGAAGGTTCTACTATACAGTGGATATCATCGGTGGAAGCAAAGATTGAAGATAAAAAAGTTAAAAGAGAAAATAAACTAACTTCAGGGAAGCTGGAGCATATCAGAAAAGAAAAGGTTAGAAAAATGTCTTAGCCCCAATTTCTGGCCTAGTGACTTTTTTACCATCCCTGGATTATTCTGTTGATAAAAGTGAGTGTGGTTTTGTTAAGATAGAAGATTAATTAATTTGAATTTTACTTTAATGAAAACTTTAAGCAAAGTGTTTGTGCTGTGGCTGAACACTTTTAAGTTTGAAATTTTGAAACTTGAACAGGTCAGTAAATATATAGTTCTTGATATATAAGTATAAATATTATTTTTATGCTGTGTAATTCTTGACCTACATAAGTTTTAAGATTGATAATGTATGTAGAGTTAAATTTTTAAAATTTCTTAATCTCTTGTGATGAACATAAAATTGGCCCCCTTTCTCCCCTATGTTAAGCTCACTGGTTTAGAAGGATTTCCTCTGACAGGGATTTGAGAGTTAGAATTCTTAAGAAACTGATTATATTTTATTTTTTATTCTTTTTTTTTTTTTTATCCTCACCCAAGGACATACTTAGAAAGGGGAAAACAGGGAGAGAAACATCGATAGAGAGAAACCGATCAGTTGCCTCTCGTCTGTGCTCTAACCCACCAGGGACTGAACCCACAACCTAACTAAACATGTGCCCTGACTCAAGATCGAACCTGCAACCTTTTGGTTTATGGGATGACGCTCCAACCACCTGAGCCACACCGGCAAGGCAACCTATTTTATAACTTGGGACTAGGGGAGTAGAATGCAGAAGAAACAACAAATGAGCCATTGTCATGTCTGTTGCACACCTGCTGTGTTGCACATGGAGAATATTGTTCAGCTCACTTCAGTAACCCAGAATCTAGAATTTGGCTCTCTCTCAATCAGAGAATGGGAATTTCACAAACCAAATCAACACCACTTTTAGCATTCAGTTTAATAAACAGAGTTTAGGGTAAAGCATCCGAATGGACTGGCACTTGTATGCTAAATGCCATATAAAGGAAATAGGTGGATAAAATGCCTACCTTCTAAAAGTTTACATAAAATTGTAAGTCATGAGTAGGACAGCGCATTAACATGAATAACATAACATTGATACATTAATATGAAGAAAGCATGGATAGCTAGGTTTCATTGTTATGGAGGTCTATGAAAGGACATGAAATGTACCTAATGTTTGTATCTTTAGGGGCTTCAAATTTAACCAAAAAGTTAAATATACTACTAAAGCTTATCCTGGACTGTTGCTTTATATTTTTTACCATATCCATGGAGACCCCTTTATTTCACTTTTCAGATAAACTTCTTGCGGAATAAACACAAAATTCACATCCAAGGAACTGATCTTCCTGACCCAATTGCTACATTTCAGCAACTTGAACAGGAATATAAAATCAATTCTCGACTGCTTCAGAACATTCTAGATGCAGGCTTCCAGATGCCTACGCCAATCCAAATGCAAGCCATTCCAGTTATGCTGCACGTGAGTATGAAGGTCTAGAGTGCCTCTGACCTCCTTTCCTGTGTTTGCTTGTCCTCTTTTGTGTGTGAAATCTTTCTTTCTACCTTTTTTCTTATCTTTGTTGAAATCCTCACATAATTTTTGAGGTCCATCTCCAGTGCCTGTGCCTTTATAGAACTTGTCTTGCTCACTACAGCTGTATGTGATCTTTTCCTTTACCACCTAAGTCTCTCCATGGTATTTAGTGTGTTCTTTTTCTTGCAACATTAATTTACATTTTACACTACTGTGTATTTGCACTAATTATAGTCATCTTTTCCTTTTACAAGAGTGTAAACACTCTGAGGATAGAAACTATGTTCTGTTTATTCATCCATGATTTAGTTTATAATTTCCAGGAAGTATTTCAAAAATACAGAATTTTTGTACTAACCTGTTTTTCCCCAATACTTTTTATTATTGAAGTATACTTTACAATGAAGTACGTAGATTTAAGTGCACAGTTCAGTGAGTTTCAGTGATGTATACCCTATGTGATCATCACCCCAGTGAAGGTGTGTGACATTTCTGTCACCCTAGAAAATTCTCTTGTGCCCTTTCCATTATGTCCTCGCCCCACCCCTGCCTGGAGGTAACTACTGTTCTGATTTCTATTGCCATTTATTAGATTTGCCTCTTCTAGAATGTCAGATAAGTGGAGTCATTCATTATTTATTCTTTCATTTCTGGTTTCTTTTACTCATTGAATGTATCACAGTTTGCATATCTACCTATTGATAGATGTGTGCATCAACCTAGATTTTTAGAAATTATGTTTTCTGAGGTTTCTTTTTGTAGTGATGACATTTTTCCCTACCTAATGAAGACAACCTTCAGTCCTGGTAGTCACAGGACACCGTGTGCCAGTCCTTTTCATGTTCTTCCGGAACTGAAGTGAAAGTACATTCGATTAATGTTGTTGACTCAGTAAATTTGCTTTGACTTTCACTTAAGGTCAAATAACCTTCTGTTGTGTTATTTCTGTCAGGTTATTTCTGTCATGATTTTAGCTTAAACCTTTGAAAGTCATGGTGACCTACCGAAGACTGTAGCCTCTTCATTACTCTGTCACCCAGGTTATCACCACTTTTTATTTCTTTCAGCCATTTTGTTCCTTATTAAAACCTCCCCTAGTGATCGAGCTATACAGTTGTCAGGACAAAACATTGCTTTTGTAATTTTGCTTTGATAAAGAATATCGTGGCAAAGAACAATGGAAATAATGGAAATAATTGAGGTTGTGAATTCTCTTTGGATTTTAGTTGTCCACATTCTTTTTTTTTTTTTTTAAGATTTTATTTATTTATTTTTAGAGAGGGAAGGGGAGGGAGAGAGAGAGAGAGAGAGAGAGAGAGAGAGAGAGATCAATGTGCGGTTGCTGGGGGTTATGGCCTGCAACCCAGGCATGTGCCCTGGCTGGGAATCGAACCTAGGACACTTTGGTTCCCAGCCCGCGCAATCCACTGAGCTATGCCAGCCAGGGCGTTGTCCACATTCTTTATGCCGTTCAAGTGGATGCCAGTGGCAGTGCTCGAAGCTCCGTTGGGGTGGTAGTGGTGGGGTGGATGAGGTCAGAGAAGCAAATAGGGGAGAAGATAGAAGAGTGATGAGAATGTGAATGAGTGGATTTATCACATACCATTTTATTTGTTATTTGTATGGCCAGTAGCATTATTTGACCAGGCTCGGAAAAATTTATGTACTTTTCCTTGTGTTTAATATACTCCATTTTTAGGGTCGAGAACTTCTGGCTTCTGCTCCAACTGGATCTGGAAAGACTTTGGCTTTTAGCATTCCCATTTTAATGCACCTGAAACAACCCGCAAATAAAGGCTTCAGGGCCCTGATTATATCACCAACACGAGAACTTGCCAGCCAGGTATGACTTACAGCTTCTAAAGAGGCCATGGTTGGTGTTTGCTGCAGTCATCTTCTTATTTGGGGGTAATAACAAGGTCTCAGAAGAGGAAGGCCTGTGTCTTTTGTCATGGTCAAGTATTCTGTACAGAGCATGCTTCTACTATCTTATTGCATACAGGCAAATCTTCCCTCATTTTCTAAAACATGATTAACATTTGTACTTTTGGGGGGAATATTCTAATAAAAGCCTTGAAGTTGAGAGGCTACTGTAATACATAGTTGCTCTAAAATTTATTTTGGTCACCTAGAAAAATGAAAATTCTACTAAGTCCTTGAGAAAACTGTACAATCATTTGCTCCACTGTCCAGTGTACTCAGTGTAAAATGCATGCCAAGTATGAAATAGTTTTATAATATTATAACAGTATTGTATTCTAAAAACAGTACGTAACAGATTAGAAGAGTTTTGGTTTTATCTCTCAAAAAGTCATTTACTAGACCCAAAGAAACTACTGAATATTACTAGGCGTTGAAGTTCCAGACTGCTGAGATTCCAGGTTAATCTACACATTATCCGGGTTTAATTTCAGATAATTATGGAGTGGTAAAGGATTTGTTAATAATGTAAGAGACTATACATCTTATCCAAGTATTTTAGCAGCTAATATTTTTTATTATTTTCTGTTCCAGATTCACCGAGAGCTAGTAAAAATATCCGAGGGAACAGGATTCAGGATACACATGATCCACAAAGCAGCAGTTGCAGCCAAGAAATTTGGACCAAAATCATCTAAGAAATTTGGTAAGGGATTCATGCTTGACAGGAAGAGCATGAAGGGGACCTAGACGCTACAAATACCCTAATTGACACCTAAGCATTCCTAGAGGGTAGTCATGCATATCATTAGTTTCATTTTTAGAGAAAGTGAAAGAGATTTCCCCACTCTCACCTGGTAGTTATATAAATTTATACTGGTGGTTCTTAACCAAAGGCAGCTTTGCCCTTCACCCACACCTGACCCTCCAGGGACATTTGGCAATATTTGGAAACAGGATACTACTAATCTATAGTAGGCACAAGCCAAGGATGCTGTTAAACATCCTGCAATGTACAAGACAGACCCCTACAATGAAAGAGTTGTTTGGACCAAAATGTCAATGTAGTGAGATTGAGAGATCCTCCCTTATACTAAAGGCCATGGAAATACTCTACAGACAAGAATAGCTTACATCTGTACCCTCATACAGCCAGAGAATCTGCTTTTACCTGTCTTTTATCTTGAGCTTCTGAATAAAATTTCCTTTTGAAAAGGATTTTCCTTAAAAACAAAATTTAAAATCATACTGTTGGATTATAGTGTTCTTGCCTCTTAGAAGCTGAGAAGACAGATCAAATATAGTGAAGAAGGGATGTACTAGTTTGTGCTATGATGATGAAAAAATACAGTGTGTATGTTAGCTTCCTGACAGGGAAGAACTTTTATGTTGTTGGCGTGTGAGTGTAACCACCCCCTCCCCACTTCAGTTATTAACTGCAATTCAGGAGGCCTAATTCTCCAGTCCAAGAGGCGTGAAACTTGCATTTGCAATTTATACCATTTGCTTTTCCTATAGATATTCTTGTGACTACTCCAAATCGACTTATCTACTTATTAAAACAAGATCCTCCAGGAATAGACTTAACAAGGTACAGATAATATTTTAATGTCTTTTATGTGTGTTCTTCATTTAGTTGATTATATGTTGTCCTTGGTTGCTTGTATTGTTGCCCTTTGGAGCTTACTGTCTGTTAGCTTTCAGTAAGTGTTGGTGCTGAGAATAATGGTTTTCATTAAATTTATAGAAAAATAACTGTCTGATCTGGAAGAAAACTACAGATTGTAGGATAAACAGTTAGCCCAGAATCCCCCTAGACTTTCTCACATTTTTCAGCAGTGGTGGTAGAGTTTATCAAGTCTATGTGAAGCTTTGTTTTTGCTAATGGAACCTCATATCTTTGAGGCTAAGGGAATAGGTACACAAATTTATCTTATTTTTACCTTTTTCCTCCCTTTTTTTTTTCTTGTACCTTTTTGTGACGTGGTAAGTGGGTCTGAGAAGCAGCATTATGGTTTGACTTCATGTGTCCTCATAGTCTAGTGAGATGTCTGTTCTTCCAGTTTAATACCCACAACCCCTTCCACCAGTTGTTTTGTTATTTCTTAGTGTTGAATGGCTGATAGTAGATGAATCAGATAAACTCTTTGAAGATGGCAAAACTGGGTTCAGAGACCAGCTGGCTTCTATTTTCCTGGCCTGCACATCCCACAAGGTCAGAAGAGCTATGTTCAGTGCAACTTTTGCGTATGATGTGGAGCAGTGGTGCAAACTCAATCTTGACAATGTCATCACGGTGTCCATTGGAGCAAGGTACTTGTTCTGCACTATCCCATTGTTTCCCCTCTCTCTGTCTCTCTAAGTACAAGTCATTTTTTTAGACTCAAGAAGGTCAGTTGTTTGGCCTAAGATTAAAAATAGAGAATTTTACTGAAAGAAATGTATTCTTTCAAGTCAAGATTGATTAAGGATTTTGTATTTTAGAATAACCCAAGGGAAGATTGTTATATTAATATTCCCATTATTACGCTTTTCATTGATTTTTCCTATCCACAGAGTATAACATGAGTTCTCTGGCCATTCAGAGGATTTAATTTCTTCGATGTCTTAACTAAGTAGGACCAGAGAGGAGGAAGCTGACATTACTGAGTGGTTTGGTTTATAATTCCTTTTAAAAATATTTTGGCATATATTAATGCTAAATGAATGCTCCCTGGTAGAAAAAAGTTTTTTGGAAGTTAGGATATTGCCATTTGATAGAATATTATACAACCAGTAGAATGATAAATATTAAGACTGCAGCTTTATGAAAAAGTACTTATAATACCATGTTGAATAAAAATAAAGCCAGATGGAATAGTAAAGAATACCCTATTTTAAACATAATTCCTGCGTATAAAAAGAAAATACAACAAATTCATCATAACTGTAATTATGAAGGCACACAACAAAATGAAAAAATATTTATGATACAGTATAATGTATTATAGCAGCTTATAGAGCATTAATAAAGCCCTAGTCCCGATGTCTGTCTATAAATGAACTCTGCAATTTGTTGAGAAAAATATTAATAAAAAGAAAAAATCTAGCTATACATAATAACAGCCTTAAAAATGTTCTCATTATTTTAACAAATGGTTTTACTTTTAGAAAGATTTTGTAAGTAAATAATTAGATGCGAAAGTTTATGACTAGAACACAACAAAATGTCAAAGTGTATTCTAAAATGGTAGAATTGTGGGTAATTTATTTTATTGTTTACATTTTCTATAGTTTTCAAACTTAAAAAAAAATTTTTTGAACCTCACCGGAGGATATATTTACTGATTTTGGAGAAGGAGGAAGGGGTAGGGGGCAGAGAGAGAGACAGACAGACAAAGACTCATCAGTGTGAATGAGGGAACATAAATCAGCTGCCTCCGGTACACGTCCAGACCAGGGGTTGAACCCGCAGCCTAGGTATAAGCCCTGACTTGGAATAGAATCCACAGGCTTTTGGTGTGTGAGATGATGCTCCAACCAACCAGGGCTATATTTTTCAAACTTTCTTGATTAACAATTTTATAACTACAATAAAACATTTAAAAATAACTTCAGGTTCAGTATATATAATTAAGTACTCATATTGACAATGGAAAAGTTCATTCTTTTGAAGTCATGTGTAAACTTTTCATTTATTTAGAATTTTGGGGGGAGGGAAGCAAAAATTGGCTCTTGCAAACTATAAGGTATGTTTTCTTCTCAGGAATTCTGCAGTAGAGACTGTGGAACAAGAGCTTCTCTTTGTTGGGTCTGAGACTGGAAAACTTCTAGCCATGAGAGAACTTATTAAAAAGGTATATTTGTAAAACAGTCTTGAATGTTGATAAAGTTCACTAAGCCTTATATTACTGGTGGGAGGCTGCGCATTTTCTGGCATCATATTTAACAATCCAGTGGTAAATTGTTAAGTACATTGGGCCAGCTCTTATCCCAAGGTGGAGAGGCTCAACTATTAGGATATAGTAAGCTTTCTATTCCTAGCTCAGGGTAGGCTAGGAGAAGGCCTGCCTGATGCCCTGAAAGCCCTTTTCCACATCTGCATGTGTGTCTGCCCCCTGCCTTTCTCCCCATCCCTCTGCTGGTTTCTTACTGAGCCTGGGGCATTGCGGAATGAGTAGGACAATGACTGGGATTTTCTGTTTGTATCCCTTCAGTAAATATTGAGTAGAAGCCATAGTTAAAAGGTTAAGTACTGAAGGGTTGGGTGAGGAGAGATGGGTAATAAAAGAAATATAAATCCTAAATTCTGCCCTTAGAACTTCATCTTTTTTAGGGCTATAATAAATACACTTGTGTAAGATAGTTTGTGGTAAAGTGCTATAAAAGGCTATACAGTGTTTTTCTTAAACATTCATATAGTTATAAGGGGACCACCAGGGTGAGTTGAATTGGTTGGAGAAAGCCCTGTACAGGAAATGCTACTAATCTGGGCCGTGAAGATTTGTGGAATTAAAAGGTGAGGCAGGTGTAGTAAAGTCTTAGAGGTAGAGGTGTGCACAATGAATGTGTTTGGAGACTAAGGACAGAGTTTAGGGTAGGAATTAAAGATGATCAGTTTGGACAGGAGAGCTGGGGTCAATTTAAAAGAAACCACTGAACAGTGTTGCAGAATGTGACCACATAATTTTTAAGGAGAATTAAACAGTGGTATACAAGATGGATTGTATTGGAAAGAGGCTGAAAGTAAAGAACCCAATTAACATGCTATTAAATTAGGCTGGTTAGATATAAGGAGGAATAAATGAAGGTAACAGCCTTAGTGGTGGAGCGTTAACAGTGGTTGGAGGATGGAGAGGAAAGGTGTTTGCAAGTGCCTGGTGACGACAGGAGTGGTTAGGAGCATGCTCTCCGGCCAGACCACCTGGACTGGAATCCTGGCTTTAGGCAAGTTAACATCTGTTCCACAGTTTCCTTATCTGTAAAATGGGGATAATAATATCTACCTCTTAGAGTTGTTTTAGTATTAGTGAGTCAATACACATGTAGTACTTATAATAGTGGTTGGCACATAACAAATACTATGTGTTAGTTTTAAAAATATTCTCAAGGATATCACTTGACAATAGGAAAATTGAAGGTTTTCACAGATATATAGGCTTGTATACTACATATTTTTAGTCATGTATGAACTTTAGGAGGTTTGTGAACCCTCTGAAATTGTGTTAGATTTTGTGTAAATGTATGGTTGCCTATTGGAAAGCTTCATGGCTTTCATTAGATTCTGAAAAGGGTGTAAATGTAGAAATCATTTGTTTAGAGCTGGTAGTTTATAACTGAGATTTTAACTTAGTAAGATAAATATTACATTGAGAAAGCTGAGAACCAAGAACTAAGCTTTGGGAGAATACCCACAATTAGGGTAGATAGTGAATTAAAAACACAGTCATTGCATTTTAAGCAGAATCAAAAAAGTTCTGAGGCACAGAGGCCAAGAGATGATTATTTGAAGGAGTGTGCATTCATCTCTGTAGAAAGGTGAAGGGGGTTAATTAGGCAAGATTATTGGAATTTACAAGATGGAGAGTACAGTTCAAGTTGATTGGAAAGAACCCAGTGTAGAGAACAGATGATAGGGAAGACAGGCAGTTTAGACCACTTGTCCTAGAAGTGTTGGCAATGAAAGTACACTGAATTGAACTGGGTTCCTTTATGAACTAAAGTCATATGAAATACTGAGTTTATATTCTTAATTATGGGTTACGTGTGCTGATTTTTGCCTTTCTTTTTTAGGGTTTCAATCCACCTGTTCTTGTTTTTGTTCAGTCCATTGAAAGGGCTAAAGAACTTTTTCATGAGCTTATATATGAAGGTATTAATGTGGATGTTATTCATGCGGACAGAACACAGGAACAGGTACACTCAAATGTATACTTTCAAAATGATAAAGAACAACTAAATTTAAAATATTGTTATAACTTACACTCATTCTTAGGGTAGCACTGAAACATTTAATATGTGTTCTTTTAACAGAGAGATAACACAGTCCACAGCTTCAGAGCAGGAAAGATCTGGGTCCTTATTTGTACAGCTTTGCTAGCCAGAGGGATTGATTTCAAAGGTGTCAACTTGGTGATCAACTATGACTTTCCAACAAGCTCAGTGGAATATATCCACAGGATAGGTGAGTTGTCCCCTGACTCTACACGCCTTATTTTAGCACCTCTGCTGTTCGCTGCAACCCTGCTCATTTTTTAGTGCTGTGAAAAATCCAGTGACTTTTATATGTGAATCTTGAAGGTCCCTTTCCCCCCAAAAAGTTTTTTAATGGTCTGTTTTCTCTTAGGTCGAACCGGAAGAGCAGGGCATAAAGGAAAAGCTGTTACATTTTTCACTGAAGATGATAAACCATTATTAAGAAGGTAAATTAGGAAAAATAATTTATTAAGTTTGCAATGTCGATTCATTAGTCTTATATGTATACACAGTTAACAGATAAATTACAAAACAGCTTTGTCTAAAATTGTTATAGTAATAGTCAACCGAATTTCAGCAGTGAGAAAATGATCAAAAAGCCTTGTTTTTGCCCTTCCATTATTATTTTTAATAACAAATATTCTCAAATTTTAGTAACTCACAGAATTCTCCCAATAGCCACCAGCTGATATTACTCACAATGTAATACTAAGGTTTTGGAATGAGCGAGTAGTTTAAAATTAACCCTCGAGTCTCTTTAGCCCCATCAAAATCATCTCTTACTGTAGTGTATCCTTCTTATTACTCTTAGGGGCAGATGGAGTTTTATATTTAGTCCCAGGAAAAATTATTTCCATAACACAGTCAAATATTATTTCATTGTAGCCCCTTGAGGCCTGAATAACCTGATACACTTTTAGAATCATGGGTTGTCATTTAGCACATCAGCATAGATATTAATATAGAAGCTGAGTTTCCTACATTTTGGCTGCCCACAGAAAATTTAGGCTGATGATAATTGGTAACACATCACATTTGTAACAACTAAAATTAATTCATGGCCGAAAGCAACTTGTACTTTGAGTTTGTCCATTTTGGCGAAGGTTTTGATTTGTGCTTCAGAGCTTTGGCTCCGCCAGCCTTGGTTTTGCGTTGAGCAGACTGTCTCGTGTACGTGCATGGGGGGTATGGATGCAGTCTGGGTGCCCGAGCAGTTTCCTCAGCCAGTCCAAGCATGTGAATCTGATAACCCGCCCCCATCAGTGTAACTGTGCACGTCAGTTTCCCATCGGGAACAAGGGCAATGATAGTACTTACTACAAAGGGTTTTGTGAAGATGAAAAACTTAATGCCAAACCCACAGTGAGCACTATCATTTAATAGATTTAAGCTGGACTCTGGCTTCAGTCAGTGTCTCACCCAAGCTTGACCTTAGTAGCTTTTTAGGGTTTGAGGAAATAAATGTTGAAATAGCTGCTATCTAAAATTATTCATTAGTTCATCGACTTTAGTCCAGCAGACAGTCTCTCAGTCATCCAGTGTGAGGACAGCTGGTGATGATCGATAACATATCAAAACACTTTACTGGATTACTTTCTTGTTTGTATAGTTTTAATCCCTCTTATACAGAGGATTTAAGTTCATAAACATCATTTTGATTAAATATAAATTTATGTGTATGGGCACCTCTTTCAGCGTTGCCAATGTCATACAGCAGGCGGGATGTCCTGTTCCAGAGTACATAAAGGGCTTCCAGAAACTGCTCAGGTACAACTTTAAGAGAGCCAGACCGGCTCTCTTTCTCTCTCTTGGCATATACATTCTTGCTTTCATATCTTACACATTGTTCTAACAATACTATTAAGAACATTTTAAGATAAAAATTTTCCTTTTAAATACCCATGTATATTGTACTTTCTTTCATTGCCAGTTTTTTATCTTTGAAATTTTAAGTGTTTAGATTTTTAAAGAAATTATTCAATGTGAGTGAAATATAATTAGATTTTTAGTTCATAAAGTTGGTATACAGCAGTAAATTGGCCAAAATCAAACTCTGATGCATGTTGGCACAAAATATAAGGTTGACAAAGGACTTATTTTAATCACAATCACTGCCTTTTTAAAAATTGATTGAATTTATCATGTGTTTGTGTTAACCTCTGTAAATGCTATTAGGTAATCTAGTACAGGAAGTGGATACAGTGTGGATGAACCAGTAAGCAGATAAAAAATGAATTTTGTGATCAACAATCAAAATATTTTGTATAGTTATAGTTTAGATTTACCTTTTAAATTTTCACTTAATTCTTTCCTGTCTTTGTAACTTCCAGCAAACAAAAGAAAAAGATGATTAAGAAGCCTTTGCAAAGAGAAAGCATTAGTACAACTCCAAAATACTTCTTAGAAAAAGCTAAGGGTAAACGGTAAGTATGTGGTGAGAAAGTTAACTGTTGACTCCATTATATAGTTAATGTAGGCATTTTTCCTTAGGATAAGTTATTTAGAAATAGAATTAATAGGTGTACAGTATGTTATAGAATATAATAAAAGTAATATATCTTAGGTTGGCTGTGATTTGGAAGCTTGGATGAATCAGCCCTGGAATTTTTCCGTATGTGTATATCAGTATTTATTTTTTTTCCACCTCTGAAAATTGGGTTTCAGTTCCCTGTGAATTAGAATTGCACTGCCCGCCATCGCCACACAGCTTGCAGCAGAACACTGAGGCCAGTAGTTACAGGATACATGTCAATGAGGTTTTCCTTGAAGCCTCCATATTCTGGGCAGGGTTTCAGTGTAATCTTAGCTTATGCAGAAGCACACTGTAAAACCTCTAAAAATATGCCTTGGTTAAATTTATAGTAGTTTTGCTGAGTTGAATGAGGGCTTTAAGTAATAGATTTTTTTAGCATACACATAGGACTACTTTTTTTGCTCAGTACTGCTAGGAAACTACTTGTTTTGATAGGAGTAGGCTAATATATTCTGAACAGTACTATTTTTTCTGCTATTTATGGAAACTGACACTCTTCAAATTCTACTAGTACCAGGTAATATATACTATATATGACATGTAGGCATTTCCTGAGTATCTATTGTCCTGTCAAGTACTTGCTGGTGGTAGGTTATACAAATGACTGTAAAATGAGACCTGTTTCCTGAAATTAGTATGCAAAAAAGAGAGAGAGAGAATAATTTCTTAAATAAAATAGAAGTTTAGAGAAGGGAGAAAATCATTCTGGATTAGTATAGTCACAGGAAGTTTCAAGGAGGTAGAACAATCCTTAAGGATAGGTAACCTTCAGGCATGCAGAAGGAACAAGGTGAACAAAGACATGGTAGCTGGAATGCACTTGCCTTCTAAGTGGGGTAAGAGTCTTACCTGGCACTTGGTACTGACTGTGGGAAATACCGTTCAGTTCAAGTATATAGAGAGTAGAGTGTCCCAAAGTTTCCGTTCAGTTTTAAGCTTTAATAACCTGGGAAGAGTAAATGCTACAAATTTATAAAAATGTCATTTGAAAGAGTAATCCTTTTATTTGTACTTAGTTTTGTGAGTTCTTAATAGTTTCTTTTTTTAATTCTCACTTGAGGGTATGTTTATTGATTTTAGAGAGAGGAAGGGACAATTAGAGACAGAAACATGGATGTTTCATTGATTGAAACATTGATTGGTTGCCTCCCATATATACCCCCCACTAGGGACTGAACCTGCAACCTAGGTATTTGCCTTGACCAGGATCGAACCCACACCTTTTTGTTTGTGGGACAAACTCCAGGCAACTGAGCCACCCAGCAAATTTTTCAGAGTGTAAGACACCCCTCCCCCCCAATTTGGAAGGAATAATGGTTGTTAATGCTGCTGCTGAATTCTGTTTACATTTACATTGGTGAAATATTATGTTATTAAATATTTTACCACATTTTTTGCTTCAAAATTTTTTTCCCTATTTTCCTCCTCTAAAACCTAGGTGCATCTTATGGTCCGAAAATGCAGATTTTCAAATATTTTGTGGCAGCAGTTTCTGGGTGACACTTAAGACTAGTGGATTGGTAGAGACGGTCACTCTGCTTGGCTGACGTATGTCACTTTTTTTCTTTCTGCTGGGCTGTATCAGAACTGTTTTACCTGCGTTAGAACCCTGTTCTTTGGGTGATCTTATAGCTAGGATTGCAAATGCAGTCCTGTACTTTCAATGTTATTTTTGTCAGTTTTATAGATAGCATTTCTACCTTGTGAGGTTCTTAAAACTTAAAGCTGTGGGTGGTGAATACACAATACAGTGGTCGGATGATGTGGTGTGGGATTTGTGCATCTGTTGAAACCTGTATAATTTTGTTAACCAGTGTCACCCTAATAAATTCAATAAAAGGAAAAATACCTTAAAGCTGCACTAAGACTTTGAGGATACTTGGTATAAATTTTGTCACTAAACCCCTACTTGAAGTGCTATCAATTTTCTACATTTAAATTAAAGGCCATACTTTTTAACATAGCCTACAAAGACTCTAGCTTAGTTTTCCAACATAGATGTTCCTTTAAGGATGCTATCCACACCTATAGCCTCAGCTTATACCTCTATGCTGATACTCGTACGTCCATACGTTCAGGCCCAGCTTCTAACCCTGGAAGAAAATAATACCAATTCTTGCCACTTGGGGTTGACTGAGGAGTACATGAGTTAATATACATGTGGGAACTTTGTGTTACTATACTATGGTAGGCAGGCATTGATTATTTTCTCAAAACTTGTTTCCTTTTCCTGTGTTGATGACACTTACCAGACCCTAAAATCAGACTGTTGAGATTCATGTCTAACATTCATTACCAATATGTGATGATCAGCAAGTTGCCCATCCACTCTGCTTCATTTTCCTCATCTGTAAAATGAGGAAAACAATAGAATTGTCTTCCCAAGTTAGGAAGATTATCCAAGGTGATAACATAAAAGGCACTCCTAACAGTATTAACACTTAATCATTGTGAACTCTTACTATTAAGTCAGGATCAGAATCGTCTTTTGTAGCATGGTGTAATGTAGAGCAGTTTACTGTGACCTTTCCGTCTCACTTAGGTGATTGTGGTTTTCTGAAGGACAGAGACCTAATGCATCTTTGTGTTCCTAGTGCCTCATATATTTGATTATACAGTAGGTTTTCAGTCCATGTTTATTCAACTAGTAGACTTTTGAAAAATACATACAGCTAGAATATCTGATTCAGCTTTCCTTACTTTCCTTGTCACAGGAAAAAGGTCACTGGTCAGAACAGCAAGAAGGCTCTTGAAGATAAAAGTTAAAAAAAATTTAAAGACTATCAAAAACATAATTTTGTGATCTCAACATGAATGTTGTTTTCATGGAATACTTCATCTGAAAATCGCCTGCACCAGCAGTTGAAATCAACTACAAGACCATAGGACTGGTGAAAAATAATCATAAACTTTCAGTGCATGATGTCAGCTTTCAATTTGTACGTGACTTTTAAACAATTACATGATGAAAATAATATTCATCAACACTTCTGTGGTTTGAATCCAGAGAGATGCTTCTTATAGAAGAACGAAAGCTTATGCTAAAAATGGCAACACCCAAATGTGGTGAATTCTTAAGGATTTTTCCCTTTAAGTGTGAAGGAAGGTGTGATGTATGTTATGAAGAGGTATCTGGAACCAAATTTTCAAAATAAAGCCTTGAGATTGAATGTCCCTCCCTCAACCTTGTGTTTTTTGTTTTTTGAATAGACAAGAAGCAGAGGCTATCTACCAAAAAGAAACTTACTACTCTTCATTTTACTGTCTTAATTTCTTGATGGCTTTCTGTGGTATAAGCACAACAAAGAGATGCCTCTTCTGTGGCTGGTTATTCAAGTTCTCTAAGATTTTAGATTTTATTTTTTCTTTTAGAGAGATGAAAAGGGAGGGAGAAAAAGAGGGAAAGAAACTTCGATATGCAAGAGAGACATCAATAGGTTGTCTCTCTCACGCCCCCAGAATGCCACCCAGGCATGTGGCCTGGCCAGGAATCAAACTGGTGACTCTTCAGTCTGCGGGACCACACTCAACCTACTGAGCCACACCAGTCAGGGCAAGTTCTCTAGGATTTTAAATTCTTTGGTCTATTAAATATCTTTATACCTCATTGGTAAAGTAGCTCACACTTTACCTGTTGTAACGTTGAAACTATAGGCTTCTGGTCAGCCTCTCCCTTTTTTTACTTTTCATCATTTAACCATGCTCTTTCCTGTCTCTTTCCATTCAAGATGACTTTGCTCGAAAACTGATAAATGTTTTATCCTGATAAGGAAGAGGGTTCCTGTTACATGATATACCTGTGGCTGCATTCTCTTACAGCTTATCTTTCCTGAGGCTTTGGGGCCTTTCATCCATTTTGTAAGCAGGTCTCAGTAAAGGTAAAGGATTATGGTTATGCAGTGATGGACACTATTCATTAGCAGATTTTTCTCCGTTGAAACTGTTGTACACTGGAATAAAAAATCAACTTCAGTCCTCTCTGGGTTCCAATTTAGCTTGCAATGCAACGTGGCTAAACACACAAAGAAGGTCAGATTGTCAGCACACAAGGGACCCATTATGGCGCCTCCCTCAGGAAAATGGTGAAGTAAATTGAAATCAGCCAGCAGGCCAAGTACCCTTGCTCCTTCTGTGGTGAAACCAAGATGCAGAGACGAGCTGTGGGGTCTGGCACTGGCTCCTGCATGCAAACAGCAGCCAGTGGTGCCTGGACCTACAACACCACTTCTGCCATCACAGTAAAGTCTGCTGTCAGAAGACTGAAGGAATTGAAAGACCAGCAGAAACTGCAATTTGAAATGCTGCTAGCTTTTAATAAATGGGTTAATTTATGCAATCAATAAAATTGCTTCAGACATGTCAGGTACTTAGAATGACATGAATGTTCAAGTTTACTATTACCAACTACTATAATACTAGAAGATAACATTTTCTCAGCAGCATTTGAATGAAACATTTCCTTTATTTTTAGCCTTTTACTCTACAGAGTCAGGACAGGTAGGCTCCCAACTAGAATATTTTAGATGGGACAAAAATTGTTCATCTTCAGAATTTATGTAAATGGAGCTTCATTATTACAAGGTGCCAAAAATACTTACAAGCATGTGCTTTTTTGTTGGTTCTAACAGATCCTTGCCTCTATATTCTGAAGGTAAGTGTGCTGCTGCCACCCAGTTGCCAACGGTATGACTTTGAAAAAGTTCTTTCATTTCTCAGAGTTTTTTTTTTATTTATGAAATTGGGGGTAATACCAACTGTCTCAAGGTCAGAAGTACCTAGCCCTGTGCAAAACATGTAGTAAATTCACAATAAATATTCCTTAAGCAAACATTTAGTTCAGAATATAAGGCTTGATAACAGTTCTTGCCCTTCCAGTGTTAGTGGTTAGGGATAAAGTAAAGGGACAAATAGTGTGGCAAAGTCTATGTTAGACATAAGGCCACAAGGCTCAAGTATCACACAGGAGGGCATCTGACCCACACTGGAAATGTCATGGAAAGCTGACATCCTGAGCTGAGCCTTGCAGATAGAACAAAGTATTCCAGGCAGGTATCACATCTGTGATCCTTGATATACTTTGATTTGATTTGACTTCCTCTTTTTTAGCATTTTCTCCTGTGTAACCACCCATCCTTAAATAAAAGTGGTTACATAAACCTGTAATAGCCTTGACTTGTCAATGGATTAATACTGAATTTACCACCTTTATATCAGTTGGAAGTAATCTGCTACACAAATCAGTTTCACCTAAAGAAGGGAAGGAAGGAAATTAGTAGACAATTATGAAAGAAGAATGCATAATTGAGTAGTTGGGTCTAGTGAAATGAGCAATGACTCTGAAGTCAAACAGATTTTGCATACTGGTCCTGCTGCTTTGCAGCTGTATGACCTAAGCAAATTACAGCTTCTTTTAACCTTGGTTTTCTCATCTGTAAAATGCCAATATTATCAGAGACACTGAAAATTTGGAAAAATACAGTAAATCCCTGACCAGTGATTTGTGCCCAATAAACGATAACTTCCCACAAACTAAGTTCTTGTAAAAGCCCTGAGGCAAGAGTGACAGATAAAGCTAATTATAATCCATTACTTGCTAGTAAGCAAACTACTTGAGGGCTTGAAAAAGTTTATACTCGACTTTTATATTTTACTTAACAGTTTGATTAGGGAAAAAGCACAGTAAAAATATGCTCAGATTCATAACATTATAAACTGTTTTCTAAACACCACCATTTTGCCCCTGCTGGCAAGTACAGGTATACCTGGTTTTATTGTGCTTCGCTTTACGGCTCTTCAGTTGTTGCGGGCTTGGTTGTTGTTGTTGTTGTTGTTGTTGTTTCCTCCAAATTGAAGGCCACACCCTGCACCAGAGATTACGACTCTACTGTGATACCCTCTTTTCTGCTGTGGTCTGGAACCAAACCGCAGTATCTCCGAGGCGAAACTGTACGAAATACCTGATTACTGGGTGGCACGATGGCAGAACCAAACAGAAGAGGTTTTGTGTGGCTAGGGTTTATTGTTTTACTAAAATAAAATTTAAATACCTTCGGCTTTGGAGTGGATACCAAAAGTAAGTCACCGAGTTCCAGGGGGAAAGTGGAGAGCACTGATCACTAACCGGCTCTGTGAAGGTGTATCCAAGGGGCACTGAGGATCCATCTATTCTTTGTGTGCAAAGGTGATTAACAATAAATACCTGTGTACCCACCATCCAGTTTAAAAAAACAGGACTCAACCTGCTCTTTCCACTAACCAAGATTATGGTTTTTCGAACCAAGTACCGACGACGCCTCGCAGCTCGACCGCCAGAGTGTATCTCCAAAGAGCCTTGGCAGAGAATGAATCAGCTTCCCAGGAACGCAGCAGGACACCGCCCCAAACAGCTCCAGAACTAGAATTGCACCTGACGGACCCCCCCCCCCACCCGCAGCGGGGACCGGATCACGTGACGGGGCGCCCCGCCCCCTCCGCCCGGCTCGGAGGTCACGTGGGCACAGGGTCCCGCCCCGTCGCCCGGTCTGCGGCGGGGTGGGGGTCTGCTGTTTGCCCCGGAAGTGGCTGTCTTCGGTTGACAGCTGTTAGTAAGGTGGCGGCGGCAGCAGGCCGGGAGCAAGATGGCGCTGCGGCCGGGGACCGGAGCTGGCGGCGGCGGCGGGGCCACGGGAGCTGGCGCCGGGGCCGCCGGGGGAGGCAGGTGGGTGTGAAGAACCAGGCGGGGACCCGCCCCGCGGCCACCAGCGAGGGGTGTTTGGCGGTTATGGGGGCCAGCTCTGACCCTTTTTGCCTTGGAATTGGGGTGCGGGAGTAGGGGCCTCCAGACACCTAGGCCGAAGTGGGAGGATGGAGCCCGGGTGCCCGGCTCCTGTTTCCCAGGTTCTGGGGCACTGGCTGCTGCGGCCGTGCCGGGAGCGTGCGCACGCCTCAGGGCGGGGAGCAGAAGAGGGGAAGGTGAGGGTCGCTCGGCTGCTTTGGCACCGGCCTGGGCTGAGTAAGGGAGGAACCCCAGCGCCTCGCTTCTTGCTCTGGCTGGCTCTGTAGCGACTAGACACTTCCTCTCCAGGCGCTTGACCAGGACATTGTAGGGGAGGCTCTGAAAAATCTGGTCACGGAGACGAACAATTGTTTTAAGATGTGTGTGTGGTACTGTTCTTTTCCCTTGTAGATTGTTCTGTCCTTTTCATTTTAACATGGCAGAAACCGCAGGAAAATCTTAAGACCTTTCAATGAGTAAATAGCGCCCTTGTAGATGTAACTCTTTAAGGCTTGTTTCCTTATTTAAAAAAAAATAATAATTGTTAAACAGCCGTTATGTAGTTATTAGAACAAAGCTTCTAGACTTTCACTTAGCCCTTAACCAAATCTGCCCTCTGTCTAATTCACCTAATAATTGCTTGTGGTTCTCGTACCCAGAACTATAAGGAAAATGAAAATTTGCACCTTGTCATTTAAGGAAACATTTCACTCTGGGAAGTTTTACACTTCTATAAATGATCTAGTCTGATTCTGTTTTGTTAGCCAACACATACTGCCTCCACGTTTGGCGATTAATAACGTTTTATCCAAAGCATTCTAAATTATCTTTGGGAAACAAAGTGTTCATTTTTTGATATGCAATAATTTAATTTTGGAGTCATGAACCCTACAAAATTGTAGTCTTTAGGTCATCACCTCTTGCAGGTGCTTATATATATGCTAGAGAAAAGAAAGCAGCCACTGTCCAATAAACCACCTGTGTGAGCCCCATTTCCCATTTCCTCTACACATCTTTCACTTAGATTTAAAACTTTTCTTTCTTTTGTTGTCTAATTCCACTCATTCACTAGTTTTTCATGGATATTCAATATAAGTCAGTTTCTGACTGGGGAAGACAAATATGTAATAATTTCTGTTTCTTTTGTGTATGTGATGACAGTTTCTAAAATGTTCTTGAGTACATTTAATCAAGTATTTGATTAATTTAATCAAGTATTTGATTAATCATGGCTCCACGTTCTGGGATAATATAAACGTAAAATGACTTGGTATTCTAAGCCAGGTTTTTTTATTTTTTTTCTAGGGTGTTTTATTTTTTATTTTATTTTTATTTTTTTATGTTTTTGGGTGGGAGGATCTCAGGTGCAGAAGGTTGAGTGGATTATTTACCTTAATAGTATTTTAACATCATCGATTCATAAGCATAGACTTTTAAAAAAATTAATATGGCCTGTATTGTGATAGAAATGAGAATGATTGATTTTAAAATGTATTTCCTATGTAAAATTGGATTGTAGTAACATCTGCATTTTAAAACTCTAGAGGATATATGGGAGAAAAAGTGGTTAAAATAACTCTTACCTTGAATAATGTATGGGAAATGTTACATGTATTACAAAATTCTGAGCCTGAGAAGCTGTATGAAGAAAGAATATTGTGGTTTTTAGAGAGTAGTGGTGAGAGCTGAGATTATTTTATGAGGTAGCTAATACTATGGTAGCCTAAGAATATATATTTGGGAGGGGGGGGAACCAGGTAAGAGGAACCAGGTAACCTCTCTCAGCTTTTAATAGAGAAAATCCATGAACTATAACTTACCATATTTCTTAGATACTTGTCCCTGTTCTAAGAGACTAAGCAAAAAGCAATGACATTTTCTAACTTTATTAATATTAGCCTACTTTTGATTAGTATCCTGAATGGGCTGCTTGAGAATAAATGGTAGAGTTGTGTAAAGGGCAGAATTTACCCAACAGATAAGAAGTATACATTTTTTAAGTCAAATACTACATAGAAAGAATTGCAAGGTCTTGAGTAGTTTGTATCCTTCTAGGGATATCATTTATAAGCTTGTCAGTATTTTTCCTGCTCTTTAATAAGTTCCTTAAGGGCTTCCTCATCTTTTCATCGTTCGCTGTTTCTAGCACATTTTAGCACATAGAAAAGTCATTCTGTAAATATTTGTAGACTCAGGCTACATTGAAGGCAAAGAAGAAGCAGTATTTCCGCAGAGCCTCATTTGGAGGAAGAGGTCAAGAGGTGGTCATAAAAGTGGGAATGACTAGTGGACAAGAAAGTTGTGCTAACCTGGAGTGGTCCTTGAATATAAACTGAGGAGGGAAAGGGGGAATCAGAGCATAGCTTTAACCTTAGGCGTGGTTATTAAATGGTCCTTTAGGAAGTTGGCCCTCACTTGTGCTATATGAGATCCATTAGGAAGTCTCATAGGAGTCCAGGCCTGACAAGTGAAGGCTGATCTAGGTTAGTAGCAAAGGTAACTGCAAAGAAGAGTGAATGAAGTGGGCAAGAAGAATGAATGTGACAAGCGGAGCTCACAGTTCTGCTTTCACACTGCACATCAGTAAGAAATAGTTGAAATCAAATTGTTAGTTATCTTGGTACCAAGCTTTTTGCCTAACTTTTCTGCCTTATCTTGTCTAACCAGTCTTGAAGCATGTTGACAGTAGTTGTCTAAACATTTCAGAGAGTCATGTGAGTGATACATAGGTCACTAAGTAGTTTGGGTTGCTAAATCATTACTGGAGTAAGTCATGTTCATCAGTGATGTTCTTAAGTTAGTTTTTATTTGTTTCTGAAGTAACCTTTATACATCCATTCTTGTCTATTTGGTCATCTAAGCTGGGACCTTGGGAAACTTGTGATTCTGTGCCCTCATTTGACAGAGGGGCAACAGGACAGGACGGTGAAGGGGGTTCCATACAGTTTCTCAGTCACTTTATGGCAGAGCCGGAGTTTCCAGCTTTTACTTAGCCACTGAACCGTATTGGTCATTGTAATCTTTGAGACTGATTTTGAAAAGTCTCAACAGGTTGATTACTTAACTGTATTTCTCCTAAATTTATCAATCTCAGTATGTGAGTAACTTTTAAAAATACTGAGAACTTCCGAATTTCAACTTGAAGTTTAAACATTTTATCCAGTTAACACATTATTTACCGTATTTCCTTCTTCCTGAAATGTGGTTGTTCTTCAGTTATAACCAACTCCGTTAGTTCCTGATGACCGTTCCCTTCTCAGCTGTCACTGTAAGAATTCTCCAAGGTTGTCCTTTGTTGCCTTGTTACTATACAAGCACATTCCCTTGGCTATTTCATCTACAATTAGAGCTCAGTGTTTGTTTGTTTTTTAACCTTTATTTAAAAGAGCCTAGCTAGATTGACCTAGACCCTTCTCCTGAGCTTGAGTGACTTTTCTGATTGCCTGCTGAATTGCTCCTCATGGACACACTACTACCATCTTTCTCCCCAGACCGACTCACATTGGCTTCCTGTCTCCGGTCAACAGCATCAGCACCCTCGCAGTTGCTCAGGCTCAAAATCTTAGTATCATGTTCTGCTATTATTCTGCTTTTTCACTACTGTTCCCCATGCTGGCAGTTGTCCAGTCCTGTTGATTCATCCTTTTAAATCACTTTCACCTCTTCTTTGCCCTTGCTACTATTTGGGTTATGGCCCTTTACATTTCTTTTAAGATTAGGGATCATCTTCTCTGCCATACCCTATTACCAGGGAAACCTAAAGCACATTTATGATTATTAGGGAAATGCAAACGCAAATCACAATGAGATACCACTTCATGCCCTTTAGGATGACTATCATTAAGAAAGCAGAAAATAACAGCCGTTAGTGAGGATGTGAAGGAATTGGAACCTCCATGCATTGCTGGTAGGAGAATGTAAAGTGGTGCAGCTGCTATGGAAAGTTTGGTAGTTTCTCAAAAACAAACATAAAATTACTATGTGACCCAGCACTCCCAACACTAGGTGTGTGCCCCCCCCAAAAAAAAAATTGGAAGAGGCAACTCAGATACTTCTATACCAATGCTCATGGCAGCATGTTCACAACAGCCAAAAGGTGGAAACAGCCCAAGCGTCCATCAACAGATGAATGGATAAACAAATGTGGTATGTGCATATATGGAGTATTATTCAGCCATAAAAAGGAATGCAGTTCTTATACATGCTACAACATGGATGAACCTTGAAAACATGCTAAGTGAAATAAGCCGGATACAAAAGGACAAATTTTATATGATTTCACTTAATACGAGGTAGCTGGAATAGGTAAAGTCATAGAGATAAAAAGTAAAATAGTGGCTTCTGGGAGTTGCGGGGGAGGATTAGACCCATTGGACAATGGGTACAGAGTTTCTGTTTGGGATGATGAAAATGTCTTGGAATGGATCATGGCATGTTTTACGACATTGTGAATGCACATATCTAATGCCACTGAACTGTACACTTAAAAATGGTTACAGTGCTAAAATTTTATATATATATTACCACATTTAAAATGCTCTGTCTTTATATAATGTTCAACATAAACATTTTAAAGGCCTTCTACAGACCGTTTACTTTTCTAATTCTGTATCTTATACCATATTTTGCCATGTATAATGTGCTCCCATGTATGGTGCACACCACATTTTTGGCCCAGACTTTTAGGAAAAAATGTTTCACTTTAATTTTTTAATTCATTTATTTATTCATTTATATTTAAAAACAAAATCGATGATTATATTCCAGGGTATTATCTTGCATACGGACATCATTATTGTTTTCTAGAGTTACACTTTTAATGCACAAGCATAAATAAAATAATTAAAAACGTATATAGATACGGAATTAATACTACCCATGTATAATGCGCATCCTTATTTTTCCCTCAGAAATTTGGGCAAAAAAAGTGTGCATCATATACGGTAAAATACGGTACTTAACCTTAAGTCTTATCTCTGAACACATAGCTCTGACCTCAGAGCTTTTTTTGCTCAAACTATATAGTGTGCCTCCCCTAGATACAGGTCAAAAGATACTTCCACAAAACTTATAGATATAAGATATAGCCCATGAAATTAAGTCTTTTTCTTCTTATTCCTATTAGTATTTTGGACCTCTCACAGCACTCGGCACCTTCTGTCTTATGATAAAGTTATTTGCCTTCACCTGTGTCTCCAACAGGACTGTGAGTTAATTCACTACTTTCATGTAGTAGGCACTCAGTGTGCACTGAATTGAATCTAATTCAAATCCTCTCATTTTAGGGATGGGGAAATTGGAATCCAGGGAAGTCACGCAATGACAGCATCAGGACTAGGTTCAAGGCCTTCTGTCTTTTAGTTCAAAAAATTTCCTCCTCCGTTACCAGGCTGCCTGTCATGACGCCTGTGGATTTTCACTCTCTATTGGTAGCGGATGATTGAATATTATACTGCAGAATACATGCCAGGGCCCTATCTACGTTTTTTCATTTATGTAGAAAATGGCATGTTTTATTTGAAGTCTTTGTACATATGAAGATCCCAATGTATTTTTGTTCTGCTTTCAGCTTCATGTTTCCAGTTGCAGGTGGACTAAGACCCCCTCAAGGTAAGTGAAAGGCTAAGTTTATTTTTCATTATTATGTTTCTGACTTGGAGATTATGTGGGTAAAGAGATTTTATTGTGCCAAATAGTAAAATTTTCCTATAGTCTTGAATATATATGATATCTTCTCTTAAAATTTTTTAAAAATTATATAATTTGAGGATTAATAAGAATCATTTCTCATTTTTCCCAAACTTATTTAAATATTGTATTTACAGCCATGACTGGTGTGGCTCAGTAGGTTGGGCACTGTCCCTCAAACTGAAAGGTCGCCTGTTCAATTTCTAGTCAGGGCACATGCCTGGGTTGTGGGCCAGGTCCCCATCTGGGGGCATGGGATAGGCAATGATCGATGTTTCTCTCCCTCTCTCTCTAAATAAATTTTTTTTAAGATTGGCCCAATTATTGTTTAATCAAGTAATTCAATAAATTTACAAGGTAACAAGATATTATTTAAAATTCTTTTCCAGTTTTTTACATTTTATGAACATGTGTTTCCCTTTTTTAGTAATTTTTATTGTATTTTTCCATTACAATGTAGCCCTCTTATGTTCCTCTCCCTCCTGCAATCACCACACTGTTGTCCATGTCCACAAGTCCTTTTTCTTCAGTCCCTCTACTCCCTAACCTCCCCTCCACCCTGATAGCTGTCATCTTGCTCTTTGTCTATGAGTCTGTCTCTGTTTTGCTTGTTAGTTGCAGATATAAGTGAAATCATACGGTATTTGTTTTTCTCTGACTGGCTTATTTCACTTAGCATAATATTCTCCAGATCCATCCATGCTGTCATAAAGGGTAAATCTTTTTTATAGCTGGGTAGTATTCCATTGTGTGAATGTCCCATCGTTGTTTTATCCACTTATCTACTGATCGACACTTGGGCTGCTTCCATATCTTGGCAATTGTAAATAATGCTGCAACGAACATAGGGGTACTTATGTTCTTTCAAATTAGTGTTTTGGGTTTTTCTGGATATATTCCCAAAAGTGGGATCGCTGGGTTAAAATGCAGATTTCTTTTTAATTTTTTCATGTATCTCCATACTGGTTTCCACAGTAGTTGCACCAGTCTGCATTCCCACCAACAGTGCACTTGAGTTCCCCTTTCTCCACATCCTAGCCAGAACTTGTCTGTTGATTTATTGATGAGAGCCATTCTGATAGGTGTAAGATAGTAGCTCATTGTGGTTTTAATTTGCATTTCTCTGATGATTAGTGATATTGAGCATCTTTTCATGTCTATTGGCCCTCTGTATGTCCTCTCAAGTCCTTTACCAATTTTTTAATTGGATTGTTTTGGTTTTTTTGGTGTTGAGTTTTGTATATTCTTTATAAATTTTGGATATTAACCCCTTATCAATTGTATTGGTGAATATATTCTCCCATTTTGTGGGGTTGTCTTTTTATTTTGTTGATGGTCTCCTTTGTTCTGCAAAAACTTTTTAGTTTGATGTAGTCCCATTTGTTTATTTTTTCTTTTGTTTCCCTGCCTGGGGAGATATGTCAGATAAAAATATTGTTACCTGCAATGATTAAGATTTTACTACCTTTGTTTTATTTCAAAAAAACATGTTATTGACAGATTATTATTTAACAGTTGACAGAGATGGAGACTTTGAGAACAAGAGAATTAAAGAATTCTCTAAATGACATCTTTTTCCTTCTATCTAGTCCCTTCCTAGATCAGCAATTTTCAACCTTTTTCATCTCATGGCACACACAAACTAATTACTAAAATTCTGCAACACACCAAAAAATATATTTTTCTCTGCTCTAACAAAAAGTAGTTATAATTCTGACTTATTCACACTGGACAGCTATTGTGTTGGCTGTTGTCATTTTTTTATTTGGCAATCTAAAGGAAAAAGAGGTCAGTGCTCCTGACTAAGTAGTCAGGTAGTGCATGTTTTAGACATTCTTGCAGCACTGGTTGAAAGTTGCTGCCCTAGATGGTTAGCTCCATTGGGCAGGATATGTGTCTGTCTTGTGCTTATTAGCATATTCAGCATTTTTCGCTACCATATTTTCTCTATATAAATTTGGTCTTATTATAATACATGATTAGAGATCACATATTCTGATTCTGTTTTAACTATTTTTAGTCTCAGTTTTATCCCTAGCAATTTCTCTCTCTCCTGTCATGGTTGCAGACCAGGGACCACCAATATCAATTCTGGCTTTCACTTCAAGGAAACAGCAGTGAAGGAGTACAGCCATGCCACCAGGACACGACATGGAAGGGAGGGGTTGTCTGCCCTTCCCCTCTTTCTTCTTACTTTTCTCTTTCCACTGTGCCCTCTTTCTCTCCACACACCAGGCTGCTTCTGAAAACTGGCCCTTCTCACGATGCCAGTGTTGACTGCTTATGGTAGACTTGCTAGAGAAACAGACTCCGAGGTCACTGTTAGAGATGAACGATAAAGAGCTGCTCAGTAGCAAGTGGTCAGTGGCTTATACTGTTTTCCATTAATAATCAGTGATGGAGGTTGAGTTTCAGGTAAATTTTTCCAAGGATCAGTTGTATTCTTTGCATTGTGCTCTCATTATGCATTATTTAAGCTATCTGTAATGTGATATGTCCCAGATTTAGATCAAATGGTTTGAGATCTTTTTTTTTTTCAAGATTTATTTATCTATTTTGAGAGAGAGGAAGGGAGGGAGAAAGAGGGAGAGAAACTTCAATGTGTGAGAGAAACATCAGTTGGTCTGCCTCTCACATGCCCCCAACCAGGGACCTAGCCCACAATCCAGGCATGTGCTTTGACCAGGAATCGAACTGGTGACCTTTCAGTTCATGAGAGAATGCCCAACCCACTGAGCTACACCAGCCAAGGTGAGATCTTTTGTTCTTTAAGAAGGTATTACAATTATGTGTTCATTATCATGGTTTATATTTCATTTTTATAAACTTTGAAGTAAAAATCTATATATGCAGCAAAGGAACAGGACAACAAGAGGTCCCAAAAGATTCCCTGAAATTTTTTTTCTGGAATTTGGATCTGTTTTAGACATTTTTTTCTTTTTACAGCATATGTTAGAGTGGACTTCTTGATCGTTTGAGGGCTTTAAATTATGCATGGATTGTTTCTGAAAGCATATGCAAGAAACTGACAGCAAGAGTAGCCATAAGATCATGAGTAGGTAAACAGGAGAAAGGAGAGAAATGAGACTTATTTTTCACTTTGCATACCTTTATACTTTTAAATGTTGTACCAAATACTACCTGAGTTACCCATTCAAGAATTAAATAAAGTTAATTAAAATAAAACTTTACGTCCAAAGGAATAAGAGGAAAAACATCTGACTATGGTTTTATTCAGCCTGTGCTTTCTAATTCTCCATGACACCTTAAGGCCTTTGCATTTGATGTTCCTTTTTCTGGAATATTCCTTTCAAATATCCACATGGCTTTCTCCCTTACTTTTTTCAAGTCTTTGCTTAAATGCCACCCTATTGGCAAACCCTTTTCTGACTATGAAACAGAACCAGTCTTTTCCCTAACTCTCCCTTCCCCCTCACCCTGCTTTATTTGTTGCCCTGCCTTTTATTACCACCTAGCATATACTTATTTTTTTATTACTTATTTCCTCTGATGGCAGTGTATATTCCATGAGGGCAAAGACCTGGCTTTGTTCATTGCTGTGTCCTTAGAATGGTGCCTGACATGGGGTAGGCCCTCATACACTTGAATAAATAATTGAATGAATAAATGAATAGCTTGCCACTAATACATGTTACCTACAAAAGTGGATGTTCGTGCTCCTGAAATTAAACCATGTATAAATAACCCCAAAGGCTCATAGAACACATCAGATAAACATGATATGTTGTACTAGACCTTTAATTTTTCAAATCAAAATTTGATTAAAAGCTTCTTACAGTAGAACCAACATGGATGTAATATGTGATAAAATGCAAAATTAGATTGAAATCTGTGTTCAGGGTATGTGGAGGTTTTGTTTTGCTCACTGTTGTATACCAAGTATACATGATGAGCAAACTGTGTCTAAAACATGGTAGGTGTTTAGTGTTTATTAAATTCCAGAGGGATATATCTTTACTCTCCACTGCTCTTGGGGGTACTTCATTGGAAAAGCTTGGGATATACTATACTCTAAGTCATGCCTTCATGATAGTTTTCTTGCCATTGCATTATATATTTTACATCCCTGTGGTGAAAGAGAAGAGGAATATAATTTCTTCAAGCATCTTAGGTATTATATAGTTTTACAAATCAGAAACTGAGGAACAGAAGTTAAGCAGGTTGTTCAAGGTCCCAAAACTAGCAAGTGATGATGGTTCAGTTGGCATCCCTAGTTCATGCTCTTAACCACTATTGCATTAGTTACATGCTGCTACATAAAAAATTAACCCAAAACTTTAAAAATTTTATTATTTCACCCTGTGTTTGGGGTCTGGTTTATGGGAGGGGCTTCACTGGGCAGTTTTGGCACAGGACTAAAGTGATTGCAGTAGAGACATTAGCCAGGGCTATAGGCATCTAAAGGTTGAATGGGGCTGGAAGATCTGTTTCCAAGATGACTTGCTCACAGTGCTCACAGAGATGGCAAATCTATGCTGCCTTCTGGCATGAGGTTTCAGTTCCTGGCCACGTGGCTTCTCCATGGGACTTGCTTGAATATTCTCATAAGGAAGCAGTGGTTTTCCCTAGAGGAGGTGATCCAACAGTCCAAAGAGGACGCTGCAGTGGTTTTTATGAACAAAGCTGTCATTTCCACAATATCCTATTTGTTATCATGGGCAGCCCTATTCAGTGTGGGAGAGAATGACACGGGTAAGTATGCCCCAAAATTCTGTGAAACAAGTATTATTATCTTCCTTTCGCAGATGAAGTTTTATAACTTGCCCAAGATCACATAGCTAAGTATGATGGAGTAGGAATTCACACTTAAGTCTATCTCACTCCAGAGCCTTTGCTTTTTCCGCTAACTCTGCCACCTTCCAAGTAAAAAGTCCTTTGGGTACTTAGAGTTTTAAGAAAATACACTTTAGAACACATTGGCTTTAATACTACCTTTGTGTTTTTCAGCAGGTCTGATGCCAATGCAGCAACAAGGATTTCCTATGGTCTCTGTCATGCAGCCTAATATGCAAGGCATGATAGGAATGAATTACAGCTCTCAAATGTCCCAAGGACCTATTGCTATGCAGGTACTTGCCTCTTTAGCTGATTGTATACAAAATTATTGATTATTGTTAGGTGTCTATATACTAATAGCTACATATTAGGACTTTAATGTTATATTTAGAAATAAGTATAGTCTACATGTTAGGTGGCTTCCTTCAAAATAAAATGAAGATATATTCATAAAAGAGAGAAAAAATAAAAGATAAATCGTTTGAGGAAAATCTGGCGACTTCTCTATGACTACTGGCTTAGAAGAATTTTAGACTGATATCTTGGAAAACCCAGGGACCTGATGGCATGAAGTAGCATTGTTAGAAGTAGCAGCACAGCTTTCATGGAAGGAACAGTGTCATTGTTCAGAAGGCTCAGAGCTTTCTTTTTAAAGTTATCTAAACCCCATAACAACTTTTTAAAGAGATAGTATCCCCATTTTTCTGATGAGGAAACTGAAGCCTTGTGAGGATGCTCACATCATAGTCAGCCAGAAGTTGAACCTAAGTCTTTAGTCTGCTTATGCTTAACCATATCACACATTGAATTCTCTCTTAAGATAATTAGGGAGCAGATAGGTTAAAGCAGTGGAATGACACAATTGGATCTGGATTTCAAAAAGATCATTCTGACTGTTGATTGGAGAATGACTGGAGGCAAAGGGGCGAAAGTGGATTTAAGAATCATTAAAAGACTGTTGTAGTGAGAGCAGCTGAGATATTGGCTTAAATTAGGGTGGTAGCAGAGGGATGGAGACATGGATGTTTTGAGAACCACTTAAAAATAAAATCAATTGGACTTGCTGAGTGTTTGGTTGTTGAAAATAAAGGAGATGGTATCAAATTGATTCCTCATTTTCCACATGAGCAACTAACTGGGGTATCAGTTACTGATTGGTACATATTGTTAACTTTGGAGGACACATGAAACTTCAAGTGGGGCTGTCCAGAGACAACTTAAAAAGTAAACTCTGGTCATTTTTCACTCTGGGTTGAAAATTATAGATTTGAGAGTCATATACACATAGAAGGTAATTGATGCTATAGAGTGAATAGAAACATTTAAGAATACTATAGATGGGCCCTGGCTGACGTGGTTCAGTGGATTGAGTGCCAGCTTGTGAACTGAAAGGTCACCAGTTCGATTCCCACTCAGGGCACATGGCTGGGTTGTGGGCCAGGTCTCCAGCTGGGGGCATGCAAGAGGCAACCACACATTGATGTTTCCCTCCCTCTCTTTCTCCCTTCCCCTCTCTAAAAATAAATAAATAAATAAAATCTTAAAAAAAAAAAGAATACTATATATGGAAAAAATAGTCCAGGATAGAGCCTTCAGCATCTCAACCTATAAATAAGAGAGTGAGACAGATGCCACAGGATTTCACTTACATGTGGAAGTTAAAGAACAAAATAAATGAAAAAACAAAATTGAAACAGACTCAGATACAGTGAATGGACTAATGGTTCCCAGAAGGGAAGGGATTGGGGGACTGGGTGAAAAAGGTGAAGGGATTGAAAAGTACAAGTTGGTAGTTACAAAATAGTCTTGAGTGTCTAAAGTAGAGCATAGGGAATATAGTCGATACTGTAATAACTATATATGGTGCCAAGTGGGTACTGAAAATATCAGGGGGAACACTTGGTAAAGTATATGCTTGTCTAACTACTATGATATATACCTGAAATGAATACAAAATAATATTGAATAAATTATAACTGAAAAATAAAATTTAAGCCCTGGCTGGTGTGGCTGAGTGGACTGAGTGCTGGCCTGTGAACTAAAGGGTCATTGGTTTGATTCCCAGTCTAGGGTACATGCCTGGGTTATGGGCCAGGCCCCCAGTGAGGGCACGTGAGAGGCAGCCATATATTGATGTTTCTCTCCCTCTCTTTCTCCCTCCCTTCCCCTCTCTGAAAATAAGTAAGTCTTAAAAAAATAAAAATTAAATTAAAAACATAGTGTATGGAAACAAATGAAACAAAATAATATTGAATGTAAACTATAATTCAAAAATAAAATTTTAAATAAGTTAAAATCAATTAGTCAGTCTTAAGTGAGTGAGTTGCCAACACAAGAGATTGAAGAGAAGCAGCCACAGCAGTGGGGAGGTGAATTAAAAAACAAAACATGGGTTTTTGGTAGCAGACCCAAGTTCAAATCCCAGCTTTGCCACTTACCTATAAAACAGAGAAATAATAATACCTTGGCAATATGGTTGTAGAAAGGATTGAAGGAATTATATAAAGCACTTAGCATTTGGGTGTATAAGACGATGCTCCAACCAACTGAGCCACCCAGCCAGGGCAGAATTTTCTTCCTTTTTATTCCCTGTCTTCCTTTTTAAGACTGGCTATGAATGAAATTGCTTATTCATTCATAGATTGGTGGACACTTGGGTTGCTTTCGTGTTTTAGCTACTGTGAATAATGCTGCTATGAACATGGCTATACGCATGTCTCTTTGAGACTCTACTTTCAGTTCTTTTGGGTGTATACCCAGAAGTGGAACTGCTGGGTCACGTGGTAATTCTATTTTTAAATTTTTGAGGAACCTCCGTACTGTTTTTCCACAGCAGCTGTACCATTTTACATTCCCACCAACAGTACAAAGAAGTTCCGATTTCTCTAAATACTTGTCAACCTTGTTGGTTTCTGTTTTTTGTTGTTGTTTTTTTTTTTATAGTAGTTGTCCTAATGGGTGTGAGGTGATATCTCAGAGGGGGAATACAGTGGAAGTAAACCTGTTTGCACATGGACTTGAAGTTGACTTTCTGTCATCTGATGGCCCAGGGAAACAGGTCCTGAATTTGGATTAAAGTTTTCCAACTTTGCAGTGCCTCCTGGTAAAAATTTGTTAGGTATCTAACAAAATCCTCTCCAGAGATTATACCATTCCTTTAGCATAAATATGTTCCTACAAATAAATTTCTAAACACAGTGTTCAATGCACAAAACCACAGAAACAGAACAGCAAGGATGAGTACCAGCACACATGTAGACAACAGAAACAACAATCACAAAATCACATCAGTTATGGAAATAGCAGACAAGACTGTGGCACAACTATATTTTCCATGGTCTAAGAAATACAAGCTGAATTATAAAATGTTGGCAGGGAATGTGAAATTATAAATGAATGACAGCAGATTTGAGTAAATAAATAGAAATTTCAGAATTAAAAAGTGTTAAGCAAAAGAACTCTGGATGAGTTTAACAGCAGATTAGAAATGGCTGAAGAAAAAATTAATGACCTGAAGATAGGTTAGCAGAAACATCAAAAATATAGTATGACAAGATTAAAAGATAAAAAGTATGTGGGATTTTAAATCTACAATGAGAAGGTTTAACACATATTTAGTTGGAGTTCTGGAAAGCAAGAAGGGGTACTGGCTATGAAGTTTCCAGGACTATTGAAAGACATATTAATTTATAGATTCAGATAGCCTAATAAATTCAAGCAAGATTGTATTAGTTATCTAATGCTGCATAATAAATTGCCCAGAAATTTAGTGCTTAAAACAACAATAAACACCTCTCAGTTCCTATGGGCCAGAATTTGGAGAGTAGCTTTAGCTGAGTGGTTCTGGCCTGGAATCTGTCATGAGGTTTTTAGTTAAGAAGTTGGCTGGGCTGCATTCATCTGAAAGCTTTATTGGGGCTAGAGGATCTGCTTCCAAGATGTCCCAGTCAGTGGCTGGCAGTTCAGTGCGGGCTGTTGGCAGGAGCCTTAGATGGACTTCTAGTCCCACATGGAGAGGTCTCCAGAGTGAAGGATTCAAGAGAGGAAGGTGGAAACTAGTGTCTTTTATAAGCTAGCCACCCTTGATCATGTCCCCCAACACCAGGACTATATTGAGACTATGACACAAGGCTATGAGTATCAGGCAGTGAGAATAAGTAAATATAAATCCTCATCTCCCAACACACAGAGAAACTGCAGGAACCAAAGACAGAGAAAATCTCAAAAGCAGCCAAAGGGAAAAAATGGAAGCCAAAAGACATTGGATGATGTTTTCAATGTACTAACTGAAAATAACTGCAACCTTTAAGAATGAAGGTAAAGCCATTTTTTCCAGAAAAAAAACTGAATGACTTTCAATAAATGAAATTCTAAATAAAGTAGTAACAGAAGGACCTTAGGCAAAAGAAGAAATGATCTCAGATGGAAAATCAAATGCAGGAAAAATATGAAGAACAAAGGAAGAGATACATATGTGGTGAATCTAAATGTATATAGTCTCTATAAAAACAATAATGTTTTCATGAACTTTTAAAATATTCAGAGAATTAAAATACATATAATAATAGTATGTAACTTGGGGGAGGCTAGTAAATGGAATTAGTGTTTTAAGATCATTGGATTCTATGAAAGAAAGAGATATTATCATTAGACTTTGGTAAGTTAAGAATGTATGCTGTAATTTCAAGGGTAACCTTAATAGGTTATATAAATACTTTATAACCAAGTAAAGGTGAAAAAAGTAGAATGGGGGAAAAATAGCCAATCCAAAAAAAAGACAAGAAGAAAAAGAAACAGAAAAAGTGGGACAAATCATAAAATAAGGTAGTTTTACCCAAATATATCAATAATTTTATTAATGTTAATGGTCTAGAGGATTCATTTAAAAAGACAAAATTCTAGCCCTAGCCAGACAGCTTAAGTTGGTTAGAGTATTTCCTGATATGCTAAGGTTGCGGGTTCAATCCCTGGTCAGGGCACATATGAGAATCAGCCAGTGAATCCATAAATAAGTGAAACGACAAATTGATGTTTCTCTCCACCCCCCCTTTCAAATCAGTGAACTAAAAAAAAAATTAAAAAGACAATATCATACTTAATGCTTAGAAGGAACATATTTGAAACACAAGGATACAGGAAAGTTTAAAGGAGTGAAAAAATAGATAAACACTGAAAACAACCCCAAAAAGTGATGTAGCTAAAGGAAAATTAGACAAAAATATACTTTAAGGCAAAAATTCTTAAAAGCCTGCCAATAAAGGTGTCTTTCATCATGATAAGAAGTTAAATTCAC